GATGTCCAACATAACGACTGAAGTCACCCATAAACCAGGTCAAATATCCAACAACGAAGAAATAAGTTTTCTTTTCAGAACCATGGAATGACCAGAAACCAGTTTAGAGATGATAAGACAGTAACTGGAGGCCAGTCCTAGGTCAACTGGGGGATCACCAAGAGGTGAGAGTAAATAACCCAAAGAAGGCCTAAAAGCTGGAACAGGAAGAGAAGGGTTGGACTGATCCAATTGAGGAACAGGAGTCAAAGGGTGAGATTGAGAAAGACAAAAACCATGGAAGATAAAGAGGAATGATGCCATGCTACTTCATTTCAGGTCTCCAGTGAAACATGACCACTGAAAACTGGGCAACAAATGGGAGCCTCATGATGATCCTGGAGATATGAAGGAATGCAGGCATATATAAGTGAGGAATGCATTTTGATCAAACAAGTCCCAACAGTACAGGAATCAAGTAAGAGTGAGAGAGCAAAATTGGTACAAGTTAATGGTAAAGACCAGGGAACAAACCACTCCAGAAAACCTATCTGGAGCACAATGAAATGCCTCAGATAAAAGGAGGAGGGAAGAAACAAAGCACAGAAGGGTGGTGAGAAAAAGACAAAGATGCTAAAAACCCTGAAACAGATGACAAGGGGTCTGCTCCCCAAGCAGGCAAAAGAAATTCCAAAAACTGGGAATCTACAAATGGAAAGGAAGAATGGATGGAAATCAGGGCAAAGGAATCAAGAATATAAGGAGGATGAGGCATGTAGGTGCAAGTGTGGAGTTGATCAAGAAAGGAATCAGCATAAACCTAATAATGGGAAGATTCAAAATAAAAAACACAGAATAAAGAAAAGAACATACTTAAGTATTGTGTAGAAACAAAGTAGTTTTAATGGTAAGCTAGTTTATTATTGTAATGCTAGAAGTATAAGAAGTAAAATAAATACTAGATCACTAGAGAGAACAGGGGATTTTGTGTAATATTCAATCCATAACCTCCTGCAAACAAAATTCTTGGGTAAATATTATCTAGCCCAGGAGCTTTATCATTCTTTAAACTTCTAAATTTATTCTTAACAACCTCAGAATTAGTCCTTCAATAATGGAATGCATTTTTAAACTCCTTTCTGCTCATGTCACTGAGTTACATTGAAAATTTAATTAAACTACTTTACTATCAATGTATTTTAACAAAATAATTATTATTCTCAAGTACATTTTAGTTCAAAATTTTATATTATCTTAGTTATATTCCTTTATTTCAAAAGAAATATTGAAAGCAGTAATGAAAATTTTGCATGTTTGTGTCACATTATGCACAAGCTATAAACAACGTCGAAATTTGGTGAAGCATAGCTTTAAACATAAGAAAATAGTTAAGTACATGAGAGTCTATACAAGAGTGTTGCTTATTTGCCTTTTTGACATGTATGATTCAAAGTACCTTGCTGATTGCAGTTGAAACAAGAAATACATTTTTGTCAACTCCTGAGAGGAGCCACACCACCTTCTATAGTTTAACGCTGGGCTTTAGAAGTTGCATGTGCTTTCAACTTGTACATGTTTATAGATGTTAAAAAGAGCTCATTTTACACTATAATCCAATAATTGTTATTTTGAAATTGGCACCAAGTTGTCATCCTTGGGTAGATGCGACTGTTTGCACTACTGAGCAGTTGTTTCTAACCTAAATATGTTACAGTTAGAGACAGTTAAATTGTATTTAGGTTTTACTTCTATATTTCAATGACATATTATTTATGTTTTAAATTCATATTTGAATGGTTTAATAATTTTCATAAAATAACCAAAACTTCCCCTTGTTCTGCAAGGCTTCTTTATCAAGCATATATAAAAATATTTTGCACAAACATAGGTATCTCTGCCATACATACCATTCTATCATCCACTAGTACTCATTGATGTGTGTCAACATAAATAATGAACAGTAAAGAATAGGAAAGGAAAATAAAACATTAAAAATAAACCAGAAGTGAAAAGGTAAAGACATGAAATTATGCACACGACCGAAAGAACATGCTTTAAGATTATTCAATGAAGAGTTAAAAGGTATGTATATATTTCTATTTCTTAACTTCAAGCATTCATTGAACTGTATGTTGATGATAACAGCTAAACTTAGTATTATGGTAGAGAAAATGGAAAATAAAATATAAACATTTACTTATAAAAAAAAACTTTTCTTTTCATTTAGGAGGTTCTAGAGATTATGCAAGTGAAACGTGAAAACTGTAAGATAATAAATAATATTTTTATACTTAAAATGAAAATCACCTTGCACGTGAACTATTCAGAGTCTGAGTGCAGCTAACTAAATTATATAACGAAGTTTTATTAGAAATTAGAGGAAAAAAAATGTAATGTTTTATTTTTCTCAAAGTTCTTCTAAGTTTTAAACAATTTTATAAACTTGTTTTATTTCTAGAACAAAATATGAAGAGAATTGTGCAATGTGCTGCACTTTGCAGCACATCATTGTTATCGGTTTAAAGGATTAACATTTATTAAAGAGACTGATTTTTTTAATGCTGGAAATAATATTAAAGTACTGAGAATTTCTACAGAGGTAATAAAGAATTTACACCATAAGCCCATACAAAACAAGTAAGTTTACAAAGTTACATAATACCAATAATACTAGGAATAAAAAAAATTTAAAGAAAAAGTGTTGTGAAATAATTTTTAAAAATGATCAGTTTCTGATGATCAGAGGATATGGAATAAATAAACGAGTTAGTATATAATGTTTTTTCTTTTTATGTTTTACAAGACATAAATCACTACTTCAACAATATCTGAAAAACACTGAGTAGTATTTACTTTAGCTGAGCAGTGGAATTTCATAATCAATTACTTTTACTGAGACTGTAATAAATCAAAAATAGTAATACATGGAAGTACATAATAAGTTTGTATTTTTCACTAATTTCAAATAGTGTGTTATTTTTTGTGAGTCGTTACACTGATCTATTAAATTGAACAACCTTGAATTAATTGAAAATGAGTAATCAAAACGAGTATATTTCAATTACGTAGAGTGTAAAAAACAGTAACACTAATTCTGAATAGTTGATTATTTTCAAGGCATTAAGTGACTTAATCATAATTTTGAATGATCAATTATTTTACATGACATAGGTTACACTGCAGAGTAAAATTAGCTATATTAAAAAGAGGACACAGCCCTAAAAAGGCAATATGTTTGGCAGTGCTCTATGTTATCATCACCAGGAGTAAGTTCAAATCAAATACTGACATATACACCTACATCACCTTCAATTTACATAAACTTACATTACACTCATGACCAAGAATACAATTCAATCCAACCCTCTCCAAAGAGCTTACAAATTACCCAACTCTATTACATTCTCTATTATTCTTATTTGTCATAAGTTTCTTTACTCTGTTTGGTTGACAAAACTACAACTGGAGGGATATTTTATGATTTGTAAATTTGCATACAACAAACACAGTACTGTCTTTCCCCTTCACACAATATCAACATGTGAACACCTAAATATAGATCATGTCAGCACTTTCAAACTTAATATACAAGTCTTATATTTAACTTACTTTTAATGAAAGTTTTAATTACAAACAATTTAATTAAACCATTCAGATTTATATTTTCACATCAAAATTTTTTACACAAAATATGAATTTCAAAAAATGTTACCTCGTGTATGATTTAAAAACTGCCAAATGTAAACTGATGTTTAAAACTGTAGTTTCCGAGATTCTTTAATGCCTCATTGGTATTTTGCCAATTTTGTTTTTCAAATACACAAGGGAATATTTTTTTTAAGATGCAAAAATTCTAACTTCACTTATCAATCAAACACAGAAAAATATAGTGACTTCATAATCATTAGAAATAACTATATGTTATGATGATTTGTTTCTAAAAAATCTGTTTAAAAATGATGCATCAAGTTCCCTATTAACACACGTAAGAAATCAAATTAAATATTACTTTTTGCATGGAGATGTCAAAATCATACTTTAGTGTTAATAGAAGATGCACAAACATCTAAAGAGCATATAAATAGTATTCTAACTCACCATGATTGGTTTACCCTGGAAAGTGCGAACCTCTTCTCGGAGATAGCGGTATGCCTTTTGTACATCTTCATCAGAATCAAATGTTACATACCAGCTATCATTGTGAACAAACTCACACTTTGCAAACTTAGGACACTCTGTGCCACTAAATAAAGCCTCAATATCCTGTGAATGCATAACATACAGAATAAGGATTAATTCAAAGACTAAAGAAATAAAGTCTAAAGTTAAAACTCTCAAAATATAACAGATGCAATAAACAATCTATATTTATTCATAATAAATCTACTGTAATAATATCAGGAAAATAAATTATTTACAGCATAACCTAAATGCTGATTCTGTTATAGAATGACAGACTTGTAATTTCCATCTTTACTCTTACAACAGTAATTTGTAATAAGCATTTAACAATCCATTTGAAATAAATTCTGATGTTCTGGACTTAATATCCTATCCTTACAAATTAAGTAAAATTCACTGAAGTACAGTTCTTTATTGAGTATTCTAAATAGCACTTTTTTTTGTAAAGTGTTCCAAAAACTTCACTTGTTTTTTTCTTATAAAGAACGTTTATTGACTTTTATTTCAAAAAAGGTATTTTTCCAAAAAATGTTGAGAACTTCGATGGTAAAGAATGGTTATGATCTTACATAGTATTGACTAAACTAAGTCAAAGCACATTTGTTTATTATGAGAACTAACTCTGGGAAATAAGCAAAACAACTAGATTTAGCAAATGAAAAGTGTGAAAGTGTACTGTTCATATACTTACCTCTATTAAAAATGACATATCTGTATCTTTTCTACAGTATATTAATTCAAACACTACTGTATAAAACTCTGTAGCCTCTGACATTCTTTGGTGAATCTTTGAACTTTTGATCTTGATGGTAGTGTTTTTCAATTATACAAGTATATAAGCAAAGTTATGATTTTCCTACACTGAAAATGTAATACCGATCAATACTTACCTCTTTTCACATAATTGCTTTTCTCGATTATTACTGCCTCCTATGTGTGCGAAGTTTCTGCTCTCCACTAGCCTTGATACTTCCACCTATCTCCACATGTTCTGACATGGTACCACTGTACTGTAGCATGCAAATAAGCATGCGACAACCCTCCACCAAAAGGAGTGTGACATACTCTCCTAGTGCAGCTGACTCCCTCTATGCTGTAGAACCCAATCTTCATTTCAAGATTAGGCAGAAGTGGGGAAGAAAGATGGAAAGTGTGAGAGAAGGTTAATAGCTATCGGAAATACATTTTCAGTGTAGGAAAATTATAGCTTCCGATATGATACCTTACCTCCTCTCACATAATAGCTAGAATCCCACATTTACATGGCAGAAAAACCAGTGCAAAAGTACCAAGAAGAGCACCCTCCAGAAACCATCTAAAGAGAACCAATGGAATGTGACACCTCAATGAAGAGGAAACACGCACATGGGAGGCTACACCACTTCTGAATCAGGTATACTTCTCACCCTAGATGAATGATCGTGCCACCAAATGGACAGAGAAGGTGACATATCTGATAATCTGATAAGGTATATTCATCAGTTCAAACCAGTTGGCATCTGGAATTGTACATCAGGTCCACAGTAGGAGGAGAGTACACACCAGCTACAGCGGCAGAATACCACTGTCCTACTCTCAACTGAGTGGGATGGAGCCCCAGTGGCTAAGAGCTGGTAAGTGGCAAGGACTCCCATACTGCACTGAAAGAGAGGAGGGAAGAGTGTTAGGGAGTCCAGAGTAATGCAACACTGGAGAAAGTGCAATGGGTGACTGCGGAATCCTATTTCTAAAAGCAGGCCAAAACTTAAGGATCTAGCCATGAATGGAGAGATGAGCAGCCATCTCTTCCCTGCTTTACTCATGCTAGTCCATCTCAACAGTGAGGATAGGGAATTATGCAGGCAAGCAGACTCCACACAATCTCCAATCTACCAAATTTATTCATGAAATAGTAGTTCAATAAAGTTTTTAATGCGAGTCAACAAACCAGATAACATGGCCTTTCACCTGTGACTCATCTCAAAAGGATTAATAAATCCAACTGCTGCAAAACAAGGAAGGGATTCACAGAACAATGATAAGCCAACACATGAGACTCAGAAGTGGGAGATGAGGCATGCTGATTCGCAAACACAACTGATCGACATGGATCCCAATATCAGGAGAGGGAAGAAAAAACAAAAGAATCAGAAGGGGAGTCATGTAAAAGTGAAGGAGACAAAGACAAAACATACTATACCTGTATCACCACATCCAGAAAAGCAGATGAAGGTCAAGGCATATCAACAGGTGTTGTCGAGACTGCACAGCAAAGGATGGAGGAGAAAAAGACAGTCCAAATTTTCATAATCCTGCCCAGTCTCCTTGAGACAGTGGAAAACTGGTTAAGATTCAGGAGAACACTCAGACTGCATGAAAGATTCCAACTCCTGGTGGACAAGGGCCAAAATCTCCTCAGCCGAAAACAATGAGCCAAAAGCCACAGTAACAGGTGGTTGGTCAGTGGCATGGATAGCAGCTGAAGTTTTATTATTATACTCTGAATTCATCACGATAAAACAAGTGGGTTACACACTGTAAGTGAACCTCCTTGGTCGCAAAACAATGGCTTGGAAAAGAAAAAATTCAGTTTGCAATGAATTGCAGAAAATTGAAAAACAAACTATGAACAAAAAAAAATTGCAAACATGTGACATAAGGTTGGCAAGAGATACAACCAAACACTTGAATGCCAAATCAAGAAGAGAAGATTGGGCTACAGCATAAAGAGAGTCAGCTGCACTAGGAGTGTGTATAACACCCCTACTGGTGGAGGGTTGTTGCATGCTACAGCGCAGCAGTACCACATCAAAACATGTGGTTGTAGGTGGAAATATCAAGGTTAGTGGTGTGTGAAAACTGAGCATATAGAGGACAGTAATAATCAAGAAAAGCTATTATGGGAGAAGAGGTAAGGTGTCGTAATAGAAAATGTTTTCTATTACATGTAACAACTTACAGCTTCATATGGTTATTAATTAAGCACAGAAATTTATAACAACTTCTTAATTATTTGTAATTACAACATTATCTGTAAGTAAATATGCAAGAGCTTATGAAATAAAATTTAGCAGTTTGAAAGTAGTTCACAAATTCCAAAACCTTTCTCTACCAACACCTGAACAAGTTTTTAACAAGTAAAGATAGCCTTATATCATACTATAATATCCATACCTTGATTGCAGTATTTTCAGGTATTTCACGAAGAATCAAAACACAACATTTGTAATTTGGACGAACCTTCTCACCAGCCTCATCAACTTCTACATTTGGTGATTCTAGTTTTCAAAAAGTGACATATATTTATAGCTTATTACTTTATCTTAAAGATATATAGGTTTCAATACTTCAAAAGATTTCTTAGTGCATTAGTTTAGCTTGCTTTAATTATAGTAGTTTAATGGTTTTTCATTGTGTCACAATAAAAAAGTAATATTTTTCACAGCACTGTATTCTGCACTCACTTTAATGAATTTTCTTTATCCAAGTAAAAGTTTTAAGCTTATGCATTAACAACTGCAATGAAGAATATGCTAGATATTACAGAACTAAAACATGGGATACGTCTGACAATGCCTTACTTCATTATAAGATAACCAGCTTTATAATAATTAAGAATACTTACATAATGTTATTCTTTTTCGAGATAATTTGTTCACCTACATCCTTTCATAGGTGTCCCCCCCCTTTATCACAAGTGTAAAACAAAAACTGATTTAGACGCTTTTGTTTAAACTACAATCTTATGGGTCCAAACCAATTTCACTTTAGTTTTTCACAGCTGAACTACAAGATACTTTCTAGTTGCTAAAATGAAAAAAAGAAATCTAATGACAGTAGAAATGTGTGAAATTATATTTGAATTCTAAGCTCTTGAGAGGATCAAGATCATCTAACCATAACTGCATCAAGAAACTCTAACTTGGAACTACTTTCATAATGTATATTTAGAATAAAAACTAAACACAACAAGGCATGCTATTTGTTGTTAAAGAATTCAAAGAGTAATACTTCTTATTTGGTATGTGTGTGTGTGTGCATGTCTACGAGACAAGGTACAACAAAGACTTTTACACAAGGGTAACAAATGTTTCAATTTGATGGACCAACTTAAATTAACTAATTCTGATGATCCAGTGTGAAAAGAAATTTAGAAATAATTAAATCTAAACAAAACAGGATCTTAATGGAACATTCTAATATAAAATAATAAGTATTTACTGATGCTGAAAACAAAATAATGTACTGATATAAAAATACCGAAGCCAATATATTTTAGGAAAGTGTAAAAATATCACAATTTATTATATCTTTCACTGAAATAACTCTTAAGACATTTAAATCAGGAAAAATCTGATAAGAACAAAAAAATTACACCGTAAATCAACAACAGTATACCAATTATTTTATCAAACAATTACTTCTTAATGTTCATTTAGCAAATTATACATAATATTCCTATATATAAGTTTAAATTAGTTAATAATCTATATCTTTAAAAGACTTATCACAACTGAAAAAAATTTAATAAAGAATTTTGTAAAAGTTAGTTTGTTGTTTTACAAAAAATTTTGTGAAAGGTGTACAAATGGAAAATCTGCTCCTTAATATAAATAATCACAACCTACCTCTCAACACATCCACAATAAGTTTCAAGTCCTTTGTGAGACGCCTCACTTGGTTAAAGTTAGCAACAGTTATGATTGGGACATACTGATCACTATCCATTTGTGAAACGAGAAAAGTATCATGAGCCAGGTTTTCTCTGTAATACAATCAAATTATTTCATGTTGATATATATACACACACACACACACACACACACACACATATATATATATATATATATATATATACACACACACATATATATACATCTATCAAAAGAAGTTAAAGGAAAGTAAGAGAGAGAGAAAAAAAAATCCCACACTGATATTAGTTTGAACTAAATAATCCTTTCATAAAACAGCCTTAAAAAGTAGAAAAACTTAAAAACATAAAAGCAAATTCTACTTCAATTTTTCATTAAATCTCCCAAAACTTATTCATGTTTAAAGGTAAAAACCAAATAAATGTAAATTAAAACTTGAAACAATCAAAAAATTAATCAAAATGTGTATACAGTTTAACTATAAGCAATCATAAAATCTACCAGCTATGCAAGTTCAGAACCATATTTCTCTTACAATATTCTTGTCTTCACTTGTGAAACCATTTTAATGACTAAGTCTATTAATTCTACAGTTTTTGAATATTTGTGCCTACAACCTATGTACATTAACATGAGTTTCATAATATTTATTATTTGTTATATAAACTAACAACCTGAGTAACAACAAACAGCTTCATTATAATACAAAACCCAAAGTTAATTTAACGTGGTACATCCTGTAATTATTAATCTGTTAACAGCTAGGACAACTCTCTTAAACTTCATTCTTTTCAGAAAAAATTAAAACCTGAATGGCCTCAAGAAAAATTACTTTCAACTACACATGAAATTACTGGCAAAATTGGAGCCATATCATTGTTTGAAAACATTATAGTACTAGCAAACCCAGTTAAAGTTGGGTGAAAAGTTAAGTTTAAATTTTAATTAGTAATCATAATTCTTTCTTCAATATTTACTTTTTAATTTCAAAGTATACGATAACCAAAAACAGACCAAATTCAGTAAAGGCTTGGTTTGTTGAGAAAATATTTTTTTTAAATAATTTAATCAAACAATTTAATGGAACATATCTTTCAATTTCTGTTCACAATCTTTCCATGTAGTCATCTTTTATGGCACAAATTTCTGAATCTGAAAACTTAAAAGTCTGATACAAGGGCATTTGTTTTTCAGTGGTAAAGCAAATGTTAAGCAACAACATTTCCTGAAAAAATTACAAAATAAATGATAGAATTAGTTTCCTGAAGCAGTAAAAATGAAAACGTTCTTTTTCAAAGAGTTAACTACTATTTCTCTTACCTTGAAAAATAATACTCCAATTGTCTCTGTAACATAGTTTTCAGCTCCTGTAAAGCTGGAGTTCCTTCTCCTGTCTGAGAACCTTAAAAGAAAATGTACAATCACTTTGTTTATCAAGAAAACATTTTTCAGTATGGAATTTTATTTAATTTTTACAATTTTAAAATTAAATTGAGTATTAAGCAGTTACTTTTCATATATTGTAAGCCTTTTCTTGTTCAGTCTTTCTCTCTCTCTCAGTCAGCCACCACATGACTTTTGATTCTGAATGTCCTTGATACAATGAACTACATATGTCATCTTACCCAGAGTTATCCACTTTCCACATGGCTTACTTCACAAATCCCAAAAGAACTACATATGTTTACTTTTACTGCCACAAATCAGATTTCACTTTTTTTAAATCACAAAATTATAACACATTTTTCTCAGTTGTGGTTGTGGGGAGATGTGTGGGAATGTATTTCAGAGGTAAGTACCTGCTTGAAATTTATTTTAATTCTAAATATAGAAAATTCAATTCAGGTGGACTTGCCTCTGAAATCTTGTAAGCTAGAATACCCACACTGAAAAGAAAGAGAGCCAAAGAATGTTTTAATACAAGACAAATGGATCATCAGATGTTGAACTCTGGGAGAGAAGAGATAAATATCTAGACCACAAATTCTGAGTGATGTGATCAAGCAAAGCATCATCAGAAAGCAGAACCTAGAAACAGAGTGATAGATGCAATGTTTTAATAGAAGTAATACAGATAGACTTCTTTTTGGCCATTTAACTGGTATACTGTGTATGTGAGTGGCCATTGGGAAAATAAGCAAGAGGTGGATATGATTAAGTATCCTGGATATCCAAACAGACTTAGAAAGGAGAAAAGGCAAGGGGACAAGTATTGTCTGCTGGCTGTCTCAAATGATGATGATAATCAGAAATAACATAAGCTTCTGTTAAGGCACTTCTCCTGAACATGAAAGCCACATAATAAAAGATACTAATTCATTGAGAGACGTAGACTACAAAACAGAATATTGATTTTGAATAAAGAAATGGATGAATGAGAGTAAGCAATCACCAGTGACTGCACTAAAAATGAAAGGAAAGTCTTAAAATAACAAATCATATCATGCAAGGTAGGTAACTGACAAGAAGAAAATGAAGACCACATGGAATATCCCCCCCCCCCAAGAATGATAAACAGGTCTAGAATATGTAAAGAAAGATGAGCTGTAGAAGAAGATTATAACAAAAAGTCAACTGTATGCTGAATGTAAGGAATGTGAAAAATGCTAACACACTGCTCATGTCTGAAAGCATCAGTAAAGAAGATAATGTCAGTAGAATGTGAAAGATAAAGGATTCAAGAATTGGGTCATCTAACATAACTCTAGCACCATCAGGTATTACATAAATCAGTTCAAGATTTAAAATAGTACGCATCTGTTAAAAAAGTGACAAAAGAGCAGCATAGCTTTTTCAGGATTAGGACTATAGACAAATCCAACTCTTCAGTCAAAGAAGGTGAAGAGGCTTAGGCAAAAGTTGGGACTTTCAACATTAGGATAAGGTAGATATCCTACAAAATGAGCTTCTACACAATTGGAAAACCTGACTAGCCCTAATACACTACTGATTATTAAAATGCAGCTACAGGATCTCTCTGCACACTAGAAGAAGACTGTGTGAACAGGGCCTCCAAAACATTTGAAAAAGTTATAGAATTTTCTGCTTCACTGAACAGCGACTTCAGAATGCAAGAGCAGAGCAAATGAAATAGTGAAGTTTACAGCATGAGTGTCAATAATAAAAACCTGACTTATGGCAGGAAGGCTGAATTGTGTAGTTCCCTTGGCACTTGTATAGTAAGTTGCTTAAAAGGTGGAAGAGTGGATAATTTTGGGTGAGGGCATTAAGCATCAAAAGTCATGTGGTCCTTGACAGAGAGAGAGAGAGAGAACAATTCAATAAGGCTTACATTATTTCAGAGGTAAGTCTACCTAATTTGAATATAAAAAAATGAAGAAGAAATAATTCAAAGAAGTAAACTTGAGAATGCAATATGATATGATTTGGCCAAATCAAATCAATTACACACCTAAGCATAATTTTATAAGGTCCTACCTACAGTATATAAGAGTTACTGATATCACAGAAAGCACCTCTTACCAGAAAATATATATGGTGAATCACAGGTCTGATCCTGGTGAGAATGGTCCATTCTGCTTAAAGTTGTGGTACTGGACATAGAAGTCGTGCTGTTCATGTTTTCAGAGTTTTTATGAATAAAATTTTTTTTTACATCAACTTCCTGGTTTACTTCAAGTTCAGCATCCTGACTGGCACTGGAAGACTTTGTGTCTGTAACAAACAGTCTATATATCAAGCATCAGGTGTAGCCCTAAAAGTAAGTTTACGGTAATGTTTTTACCACACAATTATTTCTACCACTCATATTTTACAAAATGAACCATAGTTTCACTACTATAAAGTTACTTTTACGGTAAAAATAAAATACACAACATTATTGTTAATCTTAAATGTTTTCCTCAAATGTAGATGTCTTTGAAAAATCTTACAAAAGTTCACATTTCTATTCTTATTACTAAACATTTATTAGGTTAAGATCCATTAATAACCAAACTTTTATGAACTTAATGGCAAGTAAAGTAACTTTTACTGGCAGTATAAATCAAAGTTAGCTTTTCTCCAGTGAAAATATTTTTTAATCACTCAGAGTTAGATGAATTGAAAGGTTAATGTAATTGATTAACTATGAGCAATGATTATTTCAATAAATGTCCTATAAACTAAATGATTAGTCAAAACTATGATAAATTGTTTGTCTGAAAAATAATCAGCAAACTGAAATTAGTGTTTCAATTATTAACATTTTCAAATATTTCAACAATTGATTAATCAAAATTATGATTAATCTGCTAACTACAGGGAAGGCAACTGAGCATTACATTTATGTGTGTGCTGCCTTCATAACATTTTTCCTCATTAAATTATTTTAACATGGTATTAATCTTCCTACTCTCATTCACATTCTTTTTTGTTTTTAAGTAATTTTGGAATTGCCCTTTCTTTCATATCATAGATCTCTTCTAAAGGTCACCATTTGCACATTTTATTGGAAAAAACTTTTTTTTGTCTAATATTTGCTATCAACAATAATGGTAATAATGTTTTTATTTAAAACATATCATAATTGTAATTAGAAAATAATTAAGTAGCCAGTCAGTCAATTTATTTATGCATATTATTTGAATTGGAAGAACAAAAAGAATATTCAATAAAGACTTAAGTCATTAGAATATTTTGTTCCCACCTATCATATTCACTACACAGTAAAATTAACTAAACTTATCAGATTTGATGAATGTTAACATTTTTATAATAAAAAATGTATTTCCAGTAATACTTACCTATTACTCAACTGCCAAGGTTTCTTCCTTTACTCATCCCTTAGCATTGGTCTGATTTTTTCACTCTTGCTCCAGTCTTTTATACCCCATGGCAATATTTGTTCCGTGACACTCTCCACCTATGTCAGTGCACCCTCTATCCTGGTACTGTATATAAGCACCTCATTCAGATAATATTATCACATTTTCGAGACCAACTCAATCTGCAGTCTCTAACACCAGCTCTGAGTAGGGAGGAAGGGCAGAAGAGTGTGATAGGAGGCAAGTACTATTAGAAAAACATTTTTGCTTCAAGAGCAGTGAAGCCAGTGAGGGCATTATCCATACAGACAGTATCTGCATATAATAAAAGATTGGCACCTTAGCAGGAGAACCACACAACATCCAAAACAGGTATGCTCTTCACCCTAAACTTAATTCATGTACTGTGGGTGGAATTTTTACATGATTTATCATCACTAATGGCCAGGCCCCAACCAGATAGCCAAAGTTCCACTGCTTAGGGTTGGAATTATAGAGCCATGGTCCCTGTATCCCATGTTGGTGGCTAGGGCAACTGGACTGCAAAATATATATACACTTATGAGTGGATCCCAAACTGTGATCATAAAGTGCTGCATTCTCAGCCACCAGAATCACAATGAGAAAGTAAGCAACACCAAAGTGAACAAACCTTTTCCTCAACCTGAAGAACTTCGAAAGGCAACACCCCAGGCTCGGCATGATGGGATCTTGTATGCCATACTCAACCTGACAAGAAAAAACTCTTCTGGTCTGGAATTATGAACATCCATCTTTACTCCCCAACCAAGCAGCAAGGTAAATTATTCTTGTCTCTGGAATTATGGGGAGGATGTGGAACAAATTTTGCACAACCTCGGACCTGGGATGGGACCATTCAGTGTATGGAATTACGAGGAGACAATGCACCTTCTTCCAATATTGATCAAAAAGAAGGGCCATGCTCAACCCAACTGTATAGCTGAGCATCAAATTTGAACTGGTACCATAAGTAGGCTTCCACATAGGTTGATGCCCTCCTACCAACATCTGAGAAAAAATATCTTTGCCCTCTCTCCAAGAGTGGAAGAAATTCACTCTTAACACTCTGGATGAAGCCTCTATTCACCATCCCAGTGACTGGAAACCGGGTGTGGTAAGGACTCCCTAGCTCAAATAGTAGAAAGTTGGAAATAATGCACATTGAGGAGTCTTGAGGAATAGTGCTCTAGAAACAGTGCAATAGGTGAACCAAGTTCCCTAAATTTTAAAAGCAAACCAAACCCAATTTATTCAATCCAATGATTGGCAGAGAAGGGCAGGATTCCCTTATGCTTTACTCATAATAGTCCATGAGTGGCAGGGAAGGGCAGGATTCCCTTATGCTTTACTCATGATAGTCCATGAGTGGCAGTCCAGCATAATACAGTAATATCACCTGGTCAGCCTCTAGGTGGTCTAATGAAACACCTCATTTCCACAGAGCCTGTTGCAACCTAGATAAAGTATACTGAATTAGTGATTGCTAATACAAAATTGGTTTAATACAAGGACACCTGGTTAAAATAGCTACAGGGTAGTTGAAGATACTGCCAAATCATTCAAATAATGCGAGATAAAAGTATTGGAGGAGGTACACATACCAGCCTACACAATGTCCTCTAGCAAGCAATTCAATCGGGCTGCTAAGGACATAGAAATGTTGATGAATCTGATCAGACATGACTCACAGAATTCTCTTTGCTTCAAAGAGAACCCAGAATAAGCGACATGGATCAATGTCGTACCCACCTCATCAATGTAACCAGGTAAAATTTTGGGAAACTGAATAATCCCAATGAATAAAAAATCATTGTCTAGCATCTCTAAAGGCATTAGTGTGGGAAACAAAACCTTCAAGACCCTCACTGGACATAACAAACAATTCAAATCTGATTGGTCATAGAAGCGAGAAATATTGATTAGATGAACTGATGAAAAGGATTTATCCCCTTCCCTTGCTAACAGTGTTTCAGGAAAGAACAACTGGTCTGAGGATGTAGACAGAATGATAAAGCATCCTGTGCACAATCAGCACAAACCACTCCAATCTGTGACGTCTGTAGGTCAGCAACAACAAGAAATAAACTTTTAGGGAAAGGTGATACATGGCACATGGGGTAAAGGTCTCAAACAGGTGTTGAGAAAAAAAAAAGGCCAACTCAGAATGAAGAATGAGTCACATGTGTACTTTGGAGAATCTAGAAATTGAGAAAGACAAGAAATATCGATGACTGGACACCAATCTACTGTCTTCTTGGGTCCAACAAACCAATGGGAATAAAACCCCACAAGAACTGCCACAACTTTCTCTCTACCCCCAGATTAACCAAACTCTGATTGCCCTAGAACTAAGTTCCGAAATCCAAGGACCTGCTGGAGACAGAAATCCTACAGGTTAGGTAGATAATAGTGGTGAAGATGTGAAATGAATGACTACTCCTGACTCAAGGCACTGTAGTGACAAGGATCTGTGGTTAAGGTTTACCACACGTTCAGAAATTCTCAGAGCTGAGCTCCAACAGACACTGAAGGCATACAACAGTCCTCGACACTGCTGGCGGCATTCCAACAAAGCAGGGGAACCCTTGGATATGGACAGAATCCATTCTGGGTACCAATGAATTGAGAGGCCAATGTCAGGAGTTCCACCTCTTCATCAATGGCCTTGGTGATCCTCAGAGACTTCTAACAAAGTTTAGTTTTAGGAAAACAAAAATGTTGGACTTTACAGTTGTAAGTATATTGACTTACCACTGTTCCACCAGGGGGCATTGATCTATTCAGATTACCTACAAAACTCCACTCTAGAACCCCTAATTTCTACGAGCAGTGGTATTCTTTGAGAGTCAAAATATGTTTCCACCAAGTGGTAATAAGCTAAATCATGTAGTTCCAGACAACCGTGGCAGATAAGTCATAGTTGTCCCTTCACGTAAGTGAGCAGTAAACCTCCCTGCACGAACCACAATGTCAGTGGATGGATGGAAAACTAAGTATTCACTCCCAAACCTTTCAGCTATCAAGTAAAGTGCAGACTCAAAAGCAGCTTGGGGAAGACCAAAAACATCACACACTTGATGGACCAACTGAAGAAAAAGAGCCTGAGGCAGCTTATCCCAAAGTGGCTTTCTAAAAAGCCAACAGAATAAAAGAAGGTGCAGAAAAAAGCAAATATAAATTCTCTCCAGAATGTCCACAATTGTTCTCAATTGCAACCTCAGAGCCTCCCAGTGGAACACCACCAAACTAAATATATGTCTCCATCTCACTACGAATAAGATCACTGACAGTCTCGACTGAGAGTGACTCCCCACCCCCCCCCACCCCCTTGACTGTTGAATGACGCTAGATATCAGAGGTGGGATAGGAGAGACCTGATTTGCCTCCATGCTGGAAATAATAATCTGGGAATTCCTACCATATATCGACTTGGTCAATTTTTTTTTTTTTAATGAAAATCAACTAGGTATCACAAAGAACACTGAATGTATCTCCTGATGATCGTAGCACAAAGAAACCCAGGTAAACACTTTGTCGAGAAAAGGTGATAACATTATCTGAATGAGGTGCTTATATACAGTTACAGGACAGAAGGCACACCCGACATGGGTGGAGAGCGTCATGAAACAAATACTGCCAAGGGCAGTTAACTGGGGTATAAAAGGCTGGAACAAGCAAGAAAAAAATCAGACCAATGCTTAGATGAACAAAGGAAGAAACCCTAGCAGTCAAGTAACAGATGTAGTGTGAGAGGAGGGGGTATGTTTTGGGTTATTTTATTTCATTTGGTGAAAATAAATCAAAAACTCATGTTTACAAACATTGCAACTCCATAAAAGCAAAGTATATCTATTTAAAAGTAACAAGACCATAATTTTAAACAAAGAGCTAAACATCAACTAGACACTTTTATTAAGCTTTACGCAAATTCTTGTTATGTAACTTTGTTTCCTACTGTGTGTGTATAAATATATTCCTTTGTCTAGGTAAACTGCTTGTACCTGATCAGCATATACTTATACATTAAATAATAATAAACTTCAGAAGCAAAATGTATGGAAGAAGTGGGGGTTGGCTTTCATGTAATTAACATAAAATACTAAATAAAATGAAAAAATTCTATAAAATAGTACAAAAAATCTTGTCTTAATATCTAGACTAACATGACAACAAATTACATTCCAGGTAATGAAAAAAAACAAACAAATACATACTCAAAGACAGAGAGACCCAACTATAAATTTTTCATGTAGATGTCATTCATTCTAGAGTTCAAAACTAAGAACAAAAGAAATCCATCCAATAAAATTCCAGTCACGTAAAATAACTTGGTGATTTAATTTTAAAAGTACCCTTCATTGTTACCTAAACTAGAATCCAGGATTAAAATCTTAATGTAAAATATGTTTTAATGCCAACATAAGTAAAGAAAAAAGTATGAATGACCTAAAAATGGCCAACCAAATACTTAATTAAACTCACCAATGGAAAAGTTTTTATTTCAAAACAACATTCATAAATAGCCATATTTCAGGGATATGAGATGACATGCTTTATTCCAAATAAAAAATATGCTATTCACTTACCTTCATCACTCCTTTCATCTAATGCTTGGACTGTGCAGGTATTAAGTAAGTTTGTTTCTGATGTCTTACTACAAAAGATATCAGCATCAGGGTTCAAGCTTGGGTCATCAGGTTTAGCCTGTGGATGAAAGGGAAAAAACAAGTATATACCTTGCAAATGATTCAGTAAATAATATTGTACAAAACAATGGTCATAATTTTAACAGGAGTAAATTTTTACTTCATGATATATTGCATACAGAATAATAATAAAAACAAGCAGCTGTTTGCTATGTTTTATCCAGGGTTCATTAGTTTTGTGACTGTTAATAGTAGTGGTGATTAAAGATTAAGTAGTGCTGAAAGAGCTAAGTGATAAACTTTATTACCTATTAGCATCAATTACATGTAAAGTAATTGATTAATCAAAATTATTAGTGTTTCTGACTATTTATGTTTTTGATTATTCCAACTATCCAAATAATCAAAACATTTCCATTATTATTTCTATAAATTAATTTAAGGTTGTTTGGCATTAGTAAGTAGTGTCATGGCTTACAAAATTAATAAAAAAATCAAAATAAAGGTTTCAAATTATCACTTTATTCAATTATTACAACTAACTAGGTCTCACGTGAGAATAATCAATTAGTTGAATGTAATCAATTAATCAGCCTGACCACTAAATGTCCAGCTCTATTATCCAACCATAATGCAATGTGAACATAGCTTTGTATGTGTTTCAAAGCAGAAAGTGTTTTTAAGATTTAGATGTTTTATATATATATATATATATATATATATATATATATATATATATATACTACACTACAC